CTGTATTCCTCCCAGGCCACCTGTCCTTGCTTCCACCCTCTGTAGGCTTCCTTTTTGTGTTTGAGTTTGTCCAGGAGCTCCTTGTTCATCCATGCAGGCCTCCTGGCGTTTTTGCCTGACTTCCTCTTTGTTGGGATGCATCGCTCCTGAGCTTGGAGGAGGTGATCCTTGAATATTACCCAGCTTTCTTGGGCCCCTCTTCCCTCCAGGGCTTCGTCCCACGGCACTCCGCCAAGCAGATCCCTGAAGAGGCCAAAGTCTGCTCTCCTGAAGCCCAGGGTAGTGAGCTTGCTGTGCACCCTCCTCAGTGCCCTAAGGATCTTTAACTCCACCATTTCATGGTCACTGCTGCCAAGGCTGCCCTTGAGCTTCACATTCCCCACCAGCCCCTCCTTGTTGGTGAGAACAAGGTCCAGCGTAGCACCTCTCCTCGTTGGCTCCTCTATCACTTGCAGAAGGAAACTTTCTATCATTCTCAGGCTACAGGGGCAAACATAGAGCTCTACAGTAATGCCATGTTTTAACAGGCCAAGTCAATAATCAAAAAGCACGTAACATGATTTTGATGTCAGGCATGTTGGGCGTTCCTTCAGGACACTCAGGAAAAATGGTAACTTCATTTTTAAGATTTGTTCTTAACTATTATCCAGCATGGAGTTTCTTCAGAAGAGGGAATTCAGAAGAAAGTGTTATCAGTTGTTATGTTACTCAGCATCAGACTGCCAAGGGCTGATTAATTCATTCCCTTTTTTCAAACAATGAATCAAATAGGACTATTTGTTTAAATAAGCGATAAGCTTAAATAAGCCTTCAAAAGGGACAGAAATCAAAGAAATGTGAAGCTTTTTGAATGCCTACCCTTTATATAATACTTATTTCTAAAAAACTGTACTGCGATTAGCAGCACAAGGTGCTGATGTAATACAAATACTTAAGTTCCAGAAAGGTTAATCTAACAGATACATAAACCAGAAAAAATAACAAAATGGAACAGATTCTTTTCATATCTCTCTCTCAAGGAGTTCCAGTTATGTTAAATTTTGCAAAAGGATTAGAAGATTACTTCTCCCTTTTGTACCCCAAGAGCTGTACGAA